GTGAGTAAGGCCATTTTCTCTAAAAAGGAAAATCTGAAATATGCAAAATCTTCAGTGATTGTATAATTTTTTTTAAAGTAGTTCTGTTGCATGTTGAAGTTCTCTTGTTTTAAATTTATAGTTAGGAGACCACCACTGGAAAACCCTCTTCCTCTTCAGCGGTGTTTGATAAAATTTAAATACTTTGTTCCCTTTTAGCTTAAGGATGGACCACATCATAGTTGGTTTTCATTCCTCAGTTGTGTTGGAACTGCAGTGTTGAAGACTATGCAGATGGGAAACAAATGCATGCTTTTCTTCTGTTGCCCTCTCCCCAGATTGTTAGTGCACACTTCATAGTCTGAAGTTTATCTAATTAAAATGTTATTGCTTTGTATATGTGATTTAGTAAGTCCCTATTCACTAACTAAGAATTTAACTGGTTACCTTCCCATTTGAAATTGGAAAATTTCTAATTATACTTTCTTATGCTGCTGTGTTGGTTTATCCATGGCTTGTATTTATTTCTTAAAGGCATGCAGAAGTGATTAATCTGACTCCAGCTCCCAACTTTCTCCAGCAATAGTAGTTTTAAAGGATGCTTTTTCAGTAGAAAACTGTTGGGTTATTGAGTAAAAAGATAATCTGTAGTGAGTTATGATGCACTGCTTTGTTCTTTTCCCTCAAGCACTATTGAAATATGAGGAAAAATATTGTTTGGCTCCTTGCAACATATATGTATGATATATATATATCCTAAGGATTAGTTAATATTGCCATAGTCAAGGTGCATGGCCATTTCATTGGAAACTAGTAACTGAGCTTTAATTGTGACTTGTTCACAAATTGGGATGTTTTAGATACAACAAATATTTACATTTTTATGTATTTGATCTATTTTAGTTTTTTTCATAGCTTTTTAGTGGAAAATATATTTTGTTTAGCACTACCTGCCTTCTGAAAATATTTTCTCAGCCTTTGAGTTCAGTGTTTCCAGTTAAAATACATACTGTATTGTTAGAAAAACGTGCAAGATTCAGGGAAAGATGCTAATGTCATGCACATTCATCCAGAAATATATTGGATTTAATAGTAGCATTTGAATTCAGCAATATAAACTCAGCCTTGTTAAGGAAGATAGAACCTTCCTCCATAAATCCTAGAGTTGTAATACTGTGTATGCACATAAACAGTGAGACTCAGATCTAAGGTCTAAATTAATTTTTGTGTTGGGTTTTTTAGGAAAAGTTTCACTAAAAGGGACGAACCAATGAGCAGTTCCTCTGAACAAAAATGGACAGTCTAAACCAAATAGAGAGTTGCTTTTATCTGGATTTAGCAAAGATGCCTTCTCACTTCTCGTGGGCAGCTTGCAGTTTCTTCAAAGAAAGATTGGGTAAAAGTTTGTCAGAATAGAAATGCTGGAAGCTGATAGTGTTCATGGGTGCTGTTTGCTAAATACAGTCATATCCAAAGATCTGTAGAAATGATATGAAGGAGTTGTATTTTGAGGTCTTCAGCCACCTACAGTTGACAAAAGTAATACTGCTCTGAATATCCTTAAGTTTTGAGGGTGCCTGGCCAGCTGGAAACAAGCAGTGGCAGATTCTTCCTTGCCTTTGGTTTTGTAGTGTCCTGGTAGCAGCAGACTCTTGGTTTACCCCCCCTGCCCCAGCTTTCAGAACGAACTGGCAGAGAACCAGAGTTGAAATCCCAGCAGACAGACTGTTCATCCTGGACACGTGCCTGTGTTTGTTCCAACCTCTGCCCGTCCCAACCTCAGTGGCAGCAGACACAGAACCAACCTGGGTGTTGCCCAGCACTGCAGAGGTTTGACAAGTGCCAGGGTAGTGGCTTTAACAGATAAACTCCTTGCATGAAGAGTTAATTGTAAAACACAAGCTCAGTTATAGTGTAAAATTTGAATATTTTTTTTAAATGTGGACTGTGTATTTAAAAACTTTTTTTTCCCTAATTATTTTAACTTTTTGTATAAGTTTAAAATTACCAGCTTGTTGAAGTGCTTGATTCGTGTTTTCCACATGTAGGGATAACCAGGGTATAGCAAGTTACCAGGGGTCATCACAGGAAATGATTGTGACCATTTTCAAGTGATTTTGATTTTTTGTTTTTGTTATTTTTTTAGCTACTGGCTTAATGGGATTTTACCTGTTATTTCTGAGAATTAAAGATTATTAGTTCAGACTGTAGTCCCCAAATTAATTCTTATCTAAGCATGTGTTTCGTGGCTCATGTTAAGTCACTTCTGGGGAAAAAATGAGAGTCCAAACTCAAACCTAATAAAAGACAGTTTTAAAACCTACAGATGCTTAATTGTTCAGGAAAATCAAAATTCTCAGTTTTGTAGTTAGACTTTCTCTGCTGTTATTTACAATGCAAAGTTTATATGAAAGGTGCCTAACAGCTAATAACTTTAGAAGCAGTATATCTTTCCAGATTAAACAAGATTTGCAGAATGAGTGATAAAGTTTAAAAAAAAAAATTTAAGTGATGCATCTTGATTTCATAGAAACTGTTTAATTCTCTGTATAAATGCTCAGTATTACATTTAAACACTGCTGGATGTTTCTCAGTTTTGCTTGCATTTCTAATTACTTCATTTTGCTTTATTTCTGAAACACATTATGCCATGTGTAGCCACTGATACAATTGCTGAAATACTCTGGAAAGCAAACTTTAATTTGGGACTTGTTGGTTTTTAAAAGTATTCTAAACAAATCAGCCACCTTTTTGCCAGGTATTTGAGTTGCTTTGTACAGCATATCTTAACAGGAGGAATGTGTGCAATATGTATCACCTCAGTTTTGTCTGGCAATGTTACGAAAATGTTAAGATGCAATATCTTCTTTTCACTTCAAATTTGAAAAACTGCAGTATCTCTGATTTGGTGGTGTATTTATTTTTATCTATTCAGTGTATGGACATATGGTTAGTTAGGTTTTTTATGTACACTATGTGCTTTAGTAATTTCTGAGTTTTAATCACTTCTGTGGATGCACCAGTTGTAGCCATTTGCATGTTCTTTCAATATGAAGACCATGGGGAAGGGAGCTTCAGGAAAGATTTCTGGAAACCGGAATAATTGTAAGTCAGTAAATGTAGATACTGCATCATTAACGTTTTTGGTATGGTATGGATTTTATAGCACCTATGTATGTTTGCAGTTATTAAGTTATTGCATAAATGTTTAAGAATGAACATTTTTTTCATCCAAAATTTTGTATGTTTGCAAATATATTTTTGTAATAAAACTTCAAAACAAATGTTTCAGCACCTCCTAAAATCTTGTGATGTTTCCTTTTATTTCTAGAGTCCTGTTAGCCTACTGGAAGATTCAGTTTTTTGTTTAGGGTTAATATTTTCCAGAGGAGAAACTCAAATTCCTTACTCCATACTGGGGGTAGAACTAATTTGCATTTGTCTGCTAAGGAAGTGCAACCTGCCTGCTTGAGGGACAGTTGGGAATAGCCCCTGTCACTTGTAACAGCTTCTGTATTGCTGTCAGCGTGCTTGTGGTTTGAATTTGCTAAACAGATACATTTCCTTTCACACTGAGAAATGCAGCTACAAATTCACTGTCATAAGTACAGCTGTAACTGGGTTTAGTGCCTTTCCATATAACTTTTTTATGGTATTCCCCTCATCCACAGACATGGCATAGGATACTCAATCCCGTGTTGGTCTTTGATCCAATTAACTGGAAATTGCAGTTGTCCTGTTACTGTATCTGATATTATGCAACAGATCAATCCAAATTTCACAAAGTCAAATTGGGAAGCTGATGAGGAGGAAAACCATAGCAGAACTTCTGCTGAAAGCATCTTGAAACAAAACCTTATCCCTAAGTCCCTTAATCTTAGCTGGATGCTTATTCCCATTCTAACTACCCATAGGAGTTGGGATTGTGGGGCATATCCAATGTCAGGGAGGCCACTGGAGAACAGGTTTGTTGCTCTAGTGGTTCATATTGAACTGATTCCTGCACTATATCCAAAAGCAGATTCTTCTAATAGAAGACTACAAGTACAGAAGTCATGGGATTTACTGTAAGATAATTGAGGGAAAAGTGGAACCAACTTAGAATCAAACTTGAAATTCTAGAATCAAGATTTAAATTCTGTGTTAGGTGTGTTGCCTGTTTGGTCAATAGCAAGAATATTTTTTTATTGTTGATGCTGTTAATCTTTTTGTCTTCTCTGGATCCAGGTGTTCTCTTCACTGTTATTCATGTGAAGTGCTCCCCTTTGATTTGGAAACAGGTAATACTTCTGAATTTGTATTTGTAGGTCCAGCTAAACCAGGCACTGTACAAAAAGTTTATGCAAACCAAACTCTCTTGGGCCTTTTCTCTCTTATCCTGTGTCCTCTACAGTTGTGTTTTCTGAAAGTGCCTGAGGGAATAGTCGATCCCTGCTGTGATGGTGATATGCACTGGGTAGAACCAGGGTGAAAACATCAGGCTTCCTAAAGCTCATCCCCTAAAATTCAGATTTTATTTGCAGGCTTGCAGAATGAAATAACAAGTTGCAGCTTGTGTTTATGGGCCATTAATTGAAGTCAGTGGATTCATTTATTTAGTAAGGATTCAACTACACTTCCTGCTCAATATACAAGGTACTGGGTCAGGTTAACATGAGTACAGAGTATAAGACACCTCATTCTTACAGCTTTTCTTCATTTGTGAACAGGATGCCTTCAAATAGCTTTAGTATGGCTGAGGTAAATTTCAGTTTAGTTTTCTAACCAAAATATTAGAAATTATAAGATATGTTAAACAACTTTGAAAGACATTTTCAGTGTCCAATAGTGGAAATTTTTTCTTCTATCTTCACCCAGCTACAAGTGTGAATCAGCTTTTTTCTCTCTTCCAAGTTTTGATTGAGGGATTTTACTTTTGCACTGACCTACTAATTTGGGAGAGTTAAAGTGCAGTGATAGACCTGTAACTGAAATACGGCCCTTGACTGTAAAGCTCATCCTTGGCAGTTATGCAACGATTTTTCACTTCCTCTTAGAATCCTTCTTCATATGACACCCCTAATTAGGCTCAAAAAGCATTGAGAAAGGAGGGCAGTGAAGAGATATTTTTATCAGTTACTGCATTTTGAAAGAGCACTTGCAATAAAACAAAAGGGAAAGAACCAGTGGATAGAAGATTCCTGAGAGGAGAACAAGGGAAGGAATAGCAGAAGAGTGTAAGTAAATACGAAAGGGAATATTGTGCAGAGATAAGTATGGCCTGTGAAGGTATTTCCTGAAGCAGAGAAAAATTTGAATTACAGTTTTGTTTCTGTACTGCTACATGTCTCCAGGTGTCCTCAAAGCTCAAATGTGGATTGCCTGTAAGAATTCAGAATATTTCAGGGTGTGTTAAAAATGACTGGGGAGGCACAATTTCCCTGCTAAGGGTTTTTTTAACCTCTGGTAATGAAGCAGCATAATGGAATTGGCTGATTCACAGCAGTACCTAATTTTTATCTCTGCTTGATGGCCTCACATTACAGCTTAAAGTCTGCTACAAAGAACAAGGCTGCTCATACCTAGTTGCATTTTGTCTTTCATTTTAAATAGACCTTTAAAAATATTTCTACCATAATCCATTTTTTAAAATTCAAGAAAAGCTTCATTTTACAAAACCAACCTTGGGAAATACAACCACAAAAGGATGAGCTTTATATGCTGGCTGAAATGAAAGCACTTGCCCTCAGGCCTTTCTTGGAAACACGCAAGTATGTGATGTAAATGCACAAGTTGTGTTTCTTTTCTCCTCATAAATAAGTCAAGAAGCTTTAAGAGCATCTAGAGAGCAAAGATCTCCTGTATGCAAAACTCTTGTGTGGCCTTTATTTAGAGAGCATATGACTTGCATATCCTGCTCTACTTCTTGTGGTTCAGAAGAGGAATGGGAGAGGCTTAGCAGGTTATCCAGCTTTCTCTGAGATTTATGGATGATGCTACGTGCCCTCTCTGGTTTACTTTTTAAGCATCAAATAAATAAACTTCTGTTCTCTGGGGACACAGTTCTCTCATGTAACAAAATTGCTGTAAAGGAAGCTTCTGCTATCTTAAACTCACACAAGAATTGAGATACAAGGGTGCACTTAAAGCCTGCAGGATTTGGATGTGTCTGGAGCCTGTTGTGGTTTACAGCAAGCCCTGCTCCTGATGTAATGTTCAGGATGGAAGGCACAGGGCACCCACTATAAAGACAGATCTCTGCTTTCCAATGGTTTAATAGGAAAATCTTGCCACAAGAGAAGCCTGAACAGAAATCCCAAAGGTTTGGTTAGAAACACATGCAGTACTTTTGATGGGGGGTTGAAAATAAATTAGTATTCTGCAGATGTGAGGAAAGTTGTCTGAGGGGAAACTGCTAAGATAAAAGAAGTATGTGAAAGTAATGTAGATTCATACTATGTAGTGCCTGAGCCTGGGCCTGTGATGTAGCTTTATCTGTAACTCCATTTTAGATAAAAAAGCTTGATCTTACTACTGCACCTCTGCCTGTTGCCATGCAGTACGTATCACTTCTTACAATTCTTGATGCAATGCTGCACAGAAATTGGAGATTTTTTTTTTTCACAATTCATTAGCAGCTAACTAATGTTATTACTGAAGATGAGCTGAACAATCTGTTCCATGTCTAACTGAAGCCACTGTGGTTTTGCATGTGGAAGGATGCTCTGGTGATGCATAATGAGAGAATGCTTTGGCATCAATCCATCTCATCCATTCTTGAACGATTTCCTTCTTGAAGGGCTTCTAATGCAACTGCTCTTTCAAAGGGCAAGAACAGTCAAAGCCTGTTGTGTTGCAGAGGTCAAGCTGAAGAAAATTTTTTCACTTCCTTTCCACATGCATTACAGCACAAATAAATCCTGCTTTATTTGGTCATTATAGCTCTTGTACCTTCTCTCTAAATTTACACAGCCTATGAAACTGTTGCTGTTTTGGGAGATTTCTTTTAGCACAAGTTATTGTTGGTAACTTTATTCTTTTAATTTTGCCAAATTCAGTTATTTGAATACAGGCACTCATTTAAACCAAGACTAAAGAGACTAATAACCTCTCAGCTTGTTTTAAGAGTGTTATGGAACTTGAATTAAGAATCAAGTAGAGAAAGCAAATATGATGCAGTAACTTTGGAACATCTGTGTATTCAGGAGGACTTTCAAGCACAGATGCAGGCAAATGCCTCAAACTCCTATTGTGTAAGTATTTCATACTTATCTTAAGAGATAATAGGAAAGAATTGCAACAAGTGAAAAGTCAGATTGTAAATTTAAAAAATTTTGTCAATAATATTATTCAGTGATTATAGTAAACCAATCCAAATACCCCAAAAAACTGTAATATTGGCATTACAAACTTCAATTTAAATAGTGGCATTTTCTTGCACTGCTAGCAGAAATGCTTTCCTAAATATTATCAAATAGCAGAGCAATTACCAAAACCAGTCACAGGGAGTTCCTCTTAACTGTGTGAGACATGCAATGACTTGATTTTTCTCTGACGGGCTACATGTTAGATAGAGATAAAAAAGTCTCATTGTATAAACCTTTTCTCATATTATTTGACCTATTTGGTTTAATCTGAACATTTTTCATGTATCATAAAATTGTGATAATATTTTGGAAATTTTCCAATTTTTGGTTTGCTTTCCAGTCTTTTTTTTTTGCTGTTGTTGTTAGTAAATGACATTTTATTTAGAGGCAACATAAAAATTACTGTGTTTTAAAATTATTTTTATCCAGCATTTGTCTGCCTGTAACTCAAAAACGGTCTGTCCTGTTAAGGAGCTTCTCGTAAACATTCTTCCTTTTCCAAATTACTTTGCCAGCTGTATCAGAGAAGGTTTTAGTTGAGTTGAGCTATGAATATATTCTGCTTGTATGTATCTTTTTCTTGTATTTTGCTCTTATAGACCTCAAAGGTGAACTGATTTCCCTGTCTGGGTATTTCTGGATCAGGTGCTCCATGAGAACCTTGCATTTTCCAGGTTGCTGGTTAGAGCTGTTTGTAGCCTGTGTAGCACAAACTGCTGTTCTATGGCAACTAAAGGATGTTTAGAGTGTTTTTCATGCTCCAGTGGGAACTGCAGAGCTGATCATTATTTCACAGCCTGCTGAGTATTCTTTTCACAGGGTATTTACTTGAGTGTGCACTTGTGCTTATCTAAAAACACTTGCTATCGATGATGAAAGAACAGAATTTATTTGGAGTAAGATGTGACAGCATGGACTGAATCTCTGGAAAAGCTGCAGCACCAGATTTGCTCTGAGAATGTACTGCCTTCCCATCCACCAGGCTACAACGACTGGAACTCCACCACATAACTTCTCTTTTTTAAGGTCCCCTGCAAATGGAATGAACCCCTGTGCACTGTACAGAGATGTTCAGGACTAGCAAGGTTACAATCCAGGACAGCAGTGACTGGCAGATTCCAGCTCTGTTTGGAATCCGTACAGTGCTTAAACTGCAGTTGCACAGCCTGTTGGTCCCTTCCCACGCCTCCACACGTTTTCTTTACTCACTACTGTTTGGATTTTGTAGTGATGAGCTCTTACAAGACTTGGGTTTGGGAATTTCTTTTGAGAGCCCCTTGGTAGCCAACTGGCCTGAATTCCAGCAGTGCTCAGTGCATGCAGCTCCTGCTCTGGTAAACAGGGTTGCATGTACTTATGTCAGCAATGCATTTTTGCAGTATCTCAGCAAATGACAGTCATAGCTGAGCTTTCATGCTTCTGCTGCACAATAATGCCCTGCCACTGAAACATGTGGAGGAAGGGATGGAAAAACCCAGTTATCCTGTGTATGTATTTAATAAGCTGCCTAGTCTAGTAGTTAATACTGAAGCTAACGAGATGTGATTGTATGTTCTGAAGCAAGACTGTTTGTCCATACATTTGCATCCTTGTGTTAATCATATCGTGTGTGGTTTCAGAGGCAAATCCCAGGAATGTGGAAGAAATGTTGACTGCTGTATGCAATGTATACCATGACTTTAGCTATTGCTTTACAGTCCATCACACTTAGTCAGAGTTGCAGAAATAACATGCCTCTTCAGTAGATCAAAGTGGAGGCGCTGACACAAGGTGGAATTTCACCCTGTGTATGCTTGAGCTGCTGTTTTAACAACACAGAACCATAATAAGCACTCGGTGATGCAGCACAAGGATTCAGGGAAAACAGGGTGAGTTGTGGGCAGTAATCTCCCAATGACATTATCTAAGCTAAGTCTATCTTAAAGTCTTTCTACCATCCAGATAACAATGGAGGAAACAAAGGAAGTTGTGAGCCTTAGTAATACTGGTCTGATCCAGATCAGTCCCCTTATTTTCTTACAGGAGGGAAACAAGAAAGCACCTTATGTCCAGCCTGAGAAGGCACTTGTTAAGACTGCTATTGATAGGAGAGACAGTTTCATCCTTACAAGAAAGACTCAAGAGCATCTTCACTGTAACCACAGAGACTTGATCACAGGCTTTACTCTTCATCCATGAATGGAATCAGCCTGGCCCAGTAAAGTCAAAAGTGAGGCTGTGATCTGGCCAGTGTATATTTAAAAGAATTGTGAGAGAAAATGAAAGCCATTGACTAAGGAGGAGGGAGTGATTGAACTCTTTCAGTTCACTATTTTCTCACTTTACCACTAGCACTGATGTATGCAGAGAGAAACAGTTACAGCCTGGCAATGCTGACTTCCTAATCATACTGTATAGACAGAAAACAGGGAGTAAATTAATCTATTAGAAGCAAACACTTTGTGTAGAAATTACTTGATTGTTCTCATGATACCTGCTGCTATTATATTTTTCTCCCAGGTTTATAGATACTACCAGACATCCAGAAAGATGAAGTACCCATATCTCTAAAATAAGCTTTTTGTTTCCCGATGCAAATATGTTTAGGAAGTTTTTTGAAACTTATTTTCTGCAGTTGAAATTGGACGTACAGCCATGTTTTCTTAAAGTATCTTCAGCCAATACAAAATACTGTGGAGTTTGGCATCATAACCATGATTTCACTTACACTTGGCCTCATTTGAAGAACTTATGCACCTCTTCTAAATCACTGATTAGGGAAGACCAAATTATCCTGCCTAACCTCACTCAACTGACATGGAGAACTCCATGTCACTGAGATGATGGTTGAGCCAAATGTCATCTGTCTAAAGAACAGTGTTTAAGCAGCAGGGGTGTAAATTGTCGTTTACTCCCCTGGCACAGGTAGTGTTTTAACAACTGCTCTTGATCAGTGAGCATGGAGCAGAGCTCAAGCTAAGAAATGCTGCTATGCTGCTAAAATGACTCTGTGGCTTCGACCACATCAGCAGGTGGGAGATTCCAGTAGAGCAGGTCTAGAGAGCACCTGAGAAAGTACTGAGGACTCCCCATCTGCACTGTGTGTGTTTGTATTCTGCTCCAGACGAGCTCTTGTCTGGCTTGTTGGACTGAATATTCATTAACAGCTGGGCTGCATTAGCTCCTCAGACTGAATATTCTGTTTCATCTTTATTTGAAAGGAATCCAGTTCATGAGCTATGGGACTGCTCAGCAGGGAAAGCCAAAGCACTGTGAGCAAGGAATGATCAGGAGCCTTGACCCAGGATAGTACTTGTGGCTCAAGCTACCTTAGACTTACCTTCTGACCATATGGCTGCAGCCAGACTCAAGTGTGCTGTTGCCTTGAGAAAGCCTGGCTCAGACTTCTCTGAGCAAGTTGCACAGTGAAGTTGGTTACCCTCACTCTACAAGATTAGTCTGGTTTTAGGTCTAACTGAGACTATGGCACAACTAGATGCAGATATTTGGTGGTGTATAGCATATACAAGGTTCAGTTAAGGATCTTTTACTGGGAACTTAGGTTTGAATTTACTGTTACCTTGCCAGTAGTTAAGGCAGATTTTATAATTGAAACTCTGCAAAGGAGGAGCCTTAAATCAGTAATTCCCTTGTAGATGCTATTTGCAATCTTTAGATCTTTCATAGTCCCCTACTGACCATATTCTTGGCACTGCTCTGCCTTTGAAAGCTCTTGGCACTATAGGCCATGTCTTCAGAGTCCCTAAATTTAAACCAGAGTTCCTGAACTTAAACCAAGGCTTATGGGGTTCTCATCAGGTTCTTCCATATTCCAATTTTATTGTCATATCATTTCAAAGTGTATTACTGAAATTAAAAGATTTGGGTAACTAGTTCTACCAAACAAACAAACAAAAAGTAGTTGGCCTACCTAATTATTGTAAAGTTGGATATAGATTGGAGCACAGCAAATGGCAGTTGCAGCAGTTAACCTTTGTATAGTGCTCTCTAGAATGAACTCTGCACTTTGCTACCGTCAAATCTGGTTGTTCCTGGCATGTAGCCTATTTCCAGTCTAGTGTTCCTTCTGAAGTATTTTATTAAAAAGATTTTTAAAAAGACAACTGATGAAACAGTCTATGAAAGCAGTTAAGCTAAGGGAGTGGTGTCTGCTTTTATTTCTTCTAACAAAGTGGTTTGTTTAGGGAAAAAAAGTTTTCTCTTACCTTGCTGAGAGTTTCACATGTTACTTCTCAGTGGCAGTTTGCCAAGTGAGTGTGGCTGGATGCTCTGCACATGGAGGTGGTTTCTTTTGCTGCTGAAACCCAGACTCTGCAGTTTTGAAGATCAAAGTGTAGTTTTTCTAATGTCAACATTTCAGTGTATTCTGAAATTAGATGATGATAGCATTAGTTCACTACATGTAACTGTTTAACTTTAAAACAGATTTTAAAATATATTAATATTTTTAAATTTATATAGTACAGCTTCTAGGACAAATACCAGTGGACAGAACACTGAAATAGAAAAGTGCAGTGCAGGAATACCAGGTTTCATGAGAAAGATCTGAAGTATTTGTTTTTATTGTCTGTTTAAACTTTTTTTGGTTTTAGATTGTGACCTCTAGTGCTGCTTAAGCTTTCTAGAACAAATATGAAATATTTAATTTGCCTAGTTAAGTCTGTAGCTCTAATCACATAGTGTTCAGAATTGCTAGAGAAAATGTATTTGCTGCAATATTTAATGCAAAAGACTCCATATTTGTCACATTTTTTAACATATATTATGGAAATATGAATTGTTTCCTGGAAGGAAGCCACATGGGGTAAGTCTGTTACTGTTTCTCTAGACTGTGTGGAGGAAACAGGTCACTCTTAAGGTGTGGGATACTGTGAACATTCTTTTACAGACAGGAACAGACCCTTAGCAACAGTTTTATTGAACAGGGGTTGAAGTGAAGAGGTTGAAGGAGCTGATCCTGCCCCTCCACTCGGCCCTGGTGAGGCAGACCTGGAGTCAGTTCTGGGGTCCTCAGTACGAGAGACAAGTAGCTCCTGGAGAGGGTCCAGCAGAGATCATAAAGATGATGAGAGTCTGGAGCATTTCTCCTATGAGAGATGAAGTAGCTGGGCCTAATTGGTCTGGAGAGGACTGAGGGGATCACATCAATACGTATAAATGCCTCAAAGGTGGGTGCCACGAGAATGGTACCAGACTCTTTTCAGTGGTGCCCAGGACCAGGACGAGTAGCAATGGCCATAAACTAAAACGCAAGAAGTTCCACCTCAAGATGAGGCAGAACTTTACACTGAGGGAGGCAGAGCAGGGGAACAGGCTGCCCAGGGAGGGTGTGGAGTCTCCCTCTCCAGAGACATCAAACATCCACCTGGACGCGCTCCTGTGTCACCTGCTCCAAGTGACCCTGGCAGGGGGGTGGACTGGGTGATTTCCAGAGGTCCCTTACAAACCCGAACGAGTCCGTGACTCTATGAAGGGTGGAACACAGGAGCGCGGGTCCACACCCGCACCCTGCGCTCAGCGCTCCCCTCCAGCACGAGGGAAATGGCGCCCGCGGGCGGGGCTGGGGGAGCCGCCGGGCCCGCACAGCCCCGTCCGCCCCTCCCGCGGGCGGGCCCGGCCGGGGGCGGGAGGCGGGAGGCGGCCGCCCTCGCTGCTCTCTCCGCCCCGGCTCGGCCCGGGTGAGCCGCGCCGCCGCAGCCTTCGCGGAGCCCCAGCCCCAGGTGCAGCCACCGCCGCCCGAGCCTCGCAGCCGCCGCGGCCCTCCCGCCTCGCCCCATGAGGATTACACAAGCCCGACCAGCAGACGCTGCAGGCGCTGAAGGACACGGCCAACCGGCTCCGCATCAGCTCCATCAAGGCCACGACCGCGGCCGGCTCCGGGTGAGGGAGGGAGGGGGGAGGCAGGCGGCAGCAGAGCCCGCCGCACACGGGAAGCGCGCTCCCGCAGCCGGGGGCTCGGGATGGGCTGGGAGGGGGCCCGGGGCACGCGCCCGTGTCCTGGGGCAGAGGCCCCGCTCCGGCTGTGCGGGGATGCTGCGGGAGCGGCGGGGATGGGAGCGGGGCAGGGATGAACCCGGCCACAGCCCGCACCCCCCGCGCCGCTGGATGCGGCGGTGGCACATCTGGAAATGGCGGCCGGGGCGGGGGCTGCGCGGGCAGAGCCCGCCCGGGCCGCGCCGGGCGCCGGTGCCCGCGGGTGTTGTGACTGCGAGAGAGCCGGGAATGCTAAGTTGGTGCAGGACTGGAAACCAAAGAATTTGTGCCCGAGGCGCAAGCGGCTTCTTTTTCATTGCGTGCCCGTCAGTTGGAACTAATTCTGTACAGAATTTCAAGTGAGCCCAAGTGGGATTATCTGTGCCATGCCCGCGGTCTCCAATGGGCAGCTTATTCAGGCCTCTGGACAGGATTTAGTGTGGGCTCTGATGTGTGCAGATTCCAGGGTTATCCTTCCTTTGATCGTGCTTTACCTATGGAAAAAAAATCTCTGCAAACAATCCTCTTTTACTCATATAAAATTAAAGCCGTTTTTTCTGCTTGAATAATGTATTTCAGTACCTCCATATAAAGTGCTGGCCTTTTTTTTAATCTCTCCCATCTTGTTGCAATTTCCTCCTTTGGACCTCTTTGAAACTGGCTGCAGTGTTTAAAAAAAAAAAATTTTAAAAGTCTGAAGGAATCTCTTGGGTGCTGAGGTTCGTGTGGAGAAGGGTAGTATGTAAAAGGTTATAAAGCTTCTTTGAATTGCCTTACAGTCTCCACCCTGTGCCTGGCATGAGCTGCCTCACATGGCAGAGAAACTGAACTTTACTCGTTCTGTTTGCAGACAGCGAATGGAAATGCTCCTGTGGTTCTTCCTGTGAAATGGGGTGTTGGGACGCGGGAAACCTCTCGGCCTCCTTGGGGGTGGGTTTTTTGGGTCCAGTCTGGAGAGAGAAGTGCTGGATACCCAACAGCTGCTCTTTTACTTCTTGATTTGTTTCAAAGCTGCAGTGTACAGGCATTATTACACAAGCCTGTGTGAAATTGTAGGTAAGAAAAATTGTGCTAAATCTGCTTAGTAGAGCTTGGGCTTCAGTATCGAGCTTCTAGTATGTATTTTAAGCAGGCCTAGGGATGCGTGGTATTACTTGTCTTATCGGCAGATAAAATTATTTCTCTGCTTTGTCTGATATGCTGTTGAAGGATAAGGTTCATGCTACAGCCTCTGCTTCTCTTCTGTGGTCCATGGAATTCAGCAGTAAAACCATTCCCATCATACTGATGAACAGACAGTAAAGTATTTTTTCTCAAGCTTTTTATTCCCGGTTCATGTGTGCTACAATACCGAGTCCTTCTTGCACAAAGGCATTTCATTAATCCCTCTGGTTTATTCTGCCACTGGAGTTGTGTAGTCTGAAATTATTACACAACCTGATAACGAGCAGATTATGAAAGATGGACTCTGGAGGGAAGGTTCTGTTGGCAAGTCATTTATTTTCTTAATAAGATTTGATTGCCAAGATGATGGTGTAGTAACATACCTAAAAGACAGTCAGTCTGTTGTGGAGTTAGACAAAGCACACATACTTCTAAAACATCTGTACATTATGAATATGTTTCCCAAAAATTGAAGGAGACAGTACACTTTGATTAAATTGCTGGTGTGCACCAAGAATACGGAAAGATGTTTGAATGCAAGTTAAATAGAAGCTCACAGTTAATTAAAAAAATAAATTGTTTCATGCTTGCTTTGACTTTGGTAAGGAAATTTGTGTTTGTTGAAGGTGTAGTTGGTAAAAGCTGAAGGAAATACTTCCAGTAAAAGCACTTCAGACAAAACAGGACCTGCCTACTACTTTCAAGGAAGTAATTTCTGTAAAATGTGGTGTGCATTGCAACACAAGTGGTGCTGTGGTAGATCCGACACACCAGTTCTTGCAGCCTTTACTTGTTCTACCTTTTGTTAAAAAAAGTACAGCCTTTGCCTGGGCAAGAGCAAAGTCGGTCTGATCCTGAAGTTGCTCAAACACATCACTTTGAGTGCTTCACCAGCCGTGGTGGAAAAGTTCAGTGAACTGGAAAAAAATTTTGTGTTTAAAATGACTTACGTGGGCAAAAAATTTGATTGAGTTAGTTGTAAGGATTGAACATACTTGCTTTGGGGCGTGGAAGAAGGTGGGTTTTTTTAGATAAGTAGTGCAGACATTTCCTTCAGAACATGTGGAGTCTCTTCTGTAGCTGATGATACATTTTTACAGTTTTGAAACAGTTTTTGGGCTTCCTAGAGGTGGCTGGTTACATTCTTAAAAGTGGAAGTTGTAAGAGTTTCTTAAGAGGCAGTTAAGTTTCGTAAGTGTGGTGTGATCACTTGTTGCAGATTAGTTTTTCTTCAATTTTTTAGCTTTTCTCTTGGACTCAGTGTTCCATTTTAACTTTCCACCACAGTCCTTTTTAGTTGAAATGTGGACATGTGTAGAAGGAGATAATTGATGCAGAGTAATAAAAAACACCTACGAAACTACTTTTTTGGAGTAATCATCTTACTCTTGGTTTATGTGGATCCAAGATTTCAGTGTCCCAATGGACTTCAGTTTGGTTTCCTCCTGAAGGGCTGTATTTCAAAGTTAAGGCTTCAGTAGGACCTTTCAAAGAGTAGTAATGGGACCAGCACCACGAGGTTCTGGGTTGTTCATCCATCAGGATACAGTTGATTTTTACAATGATTTCTGATATCTGATAAGCAGTTAAATTTTTGGTTATTTCTGATAGTAGGAATTCATGTAATTACCTGTAGCTTTAACAAGATTTTTTTTTTTTCAATTTTCAGGTAATTTATTAAATTTTTCTGCTTTTTTTTTATTTCCACGCGCTACCATTTTAGGTGGTTTAAAACTTTTTTTACCAAGACCAGGAGTTCATAGAAGTATGGTTAAGTATAAAGTCAATAAAATTAAAGGAATGAAAGCTTTAAACAAGCATGTAAGGCTTCTTGATTAACTCAAACACATAAATATTTACTAATATGTTTGAACCATGGTTTAAAGCTAATTCTTTTGTTTCCCTGTGTGAGTACTTACTAAGGGATGGACACTAACTGTAATTTGTATTTTGCTAGTGTTTTGCATGTTTTTATTCTCTTATTACAGCACCGTTGGGGATGTTGGGAGGGAAGGTTTATTACTATCAAAAGAATATTCTGGTTAAAGTTTTAGTGAAAGTGTTGTCTAATCCTAACATGCATGGTAATGTACATGTGGGAAATGAAATGTGACACTTTCATAGTAAGTTCATCCTGTTTTATAAGTAGGGTCAAATATTTTAAGAATATTGTGTTAAAGATGAAAAATATATGTTGGTAAAAGAGAAAGTGAGATG